TGCTGACTTGGGTAATGAAAATGGTTAAATGACAGCTCTGTTAAATTCATGAGAAACAAGCCATAATTTGAGCAAGTGTTTCAGCAGTTTTGGGCTGAAAAGAAACATAATGGACTGTATTCGCCTACTTTCAGGAGTAAATGGCACATGAAAGATGTCAAGGAAGCTGAAACATTCAGAATATTGAGTGATAATGTAGTACGAGGGACAGAAGAGCTGGGAGCCTTGGCCCTCTGCTGTGTTTCTGTCTGAAGACAGTATTTTTGCTAGGTCAAAAGCTCATGTAGAGATTTAATAGGATGACACTTCATAATTTGACATCCACCAGCTGTCTCTGGCTATGAAGAGACAGCGCTCTTCCTGTAGGAAATCTGGGGTTGGGTTTCTTTTTATAAATTTGCTGTGAAAAGTAAACAGATAATTGAGGAAAAGGAAACAAAAGCTTTCTTCCTTGGTAAAAATGCAGAATTTTAGGAAATGCATCTCTGTCAGTGAGTCTGTAAAATTCTTGGGTTTGTGTTTTCCTGATTTCCTGAACCTCTTAATCTTTCATGTACCACCAAGAGCTGTGCGTGAAAACGACATTTTTGTCTTCCTCTACGCTGCTGTTGTGCAAACAGACCCTGGGTCTGGTGTGCTTAGTGCTGAACAAACATCTGCTCGGGCAGCATCGGCTGCCGGGAGGCTCGGTTGGCCGGGTCTGACTGATGCGGGAGGCGGCGGTGGGCGCAGTAACCCCACCTCATGGGGCTGATGGTTGGGGTTGGAAACGCTGCGCTTGCCCAAGCCGACGCGCGGGCTGCTTGTAGAGGGAGCAGGAATTTGCCTGGAAACCCTGGGAGTGAAGCTGTCTGAAAGCTTTAGATGAAAAGATTTTTCAGTAAGAAAACCTGGTTTTGATCAGTATTTCTTGGTGTTTGTTTTTTATCTTTAAAAAGTGGTTTTGAACATCTCTGTTTTTCCCTGAAATATGTAAAACAGCTGCTTTCTGTAACCATCTTATCTGTAAGATTTTCGGAGTGGATAGTTCATATTTTTAGTAAATTTTTCATGTTTCTGAAGCTTTCATTTTTTTTTTCCTACCGAAACTCTGATTCTGTTTTACTTTCTAAGTAAATGTTTTCATTTTCTCAAAAATGGTATTGAAAGATCTTCAGCATTTTGAATTAATAGAGTAGAACAGAACAGACTGTTGGGGTTGGAAGGAGCCCACACTGACCATCCTGTCCAACTGCCTGAGCACTTCAGGCTGACCAGAAGTTAAAGCAAGGTTTATTAAGGGCACTGTCCAAGTGCCTCAAACACTGACAGGCCAGGGGCATCAACCACCTCCCTGGGAAGCCTGTTCCCAGTGTTTGACCACCCCTCAGTAAAGAAATGCTTCCTAATGTCCGGTCTAAACCTCCCCTGGGGCAGCACCTGTGACTGGATCCCAGGGATAAGAGATCAGCACCTCCCTCACTACATCCCCTCCTCAGGAAGCAGCAGAGGACAATCAGTTTGCCCCCCAGCTCCTTTTCTCCAAAGGAGACAAGCCCCAAGTCCTCAGCTGCTCCGCACAGGACGCTCCTTCCAGCCCTTTCGGCAGCTTTGCCGCTGTCCTGGCACATTTAGGGACCTTTAAGGACCCAGGTTGTTTTACAAGTGCGGTTGGTTAGGTGTTCCTGCTCCCTCACCACAGATTCAGTGCTGGCTCAGGCCGGGTGGGAAGCGCCACTCCTTGAACCATTATTTTTCTTCTCGTTTTTTGGGCGAGTTTGACAACTCAGCTAACGGCAACATTTGACGAACAGCTCAAGCGAACTACGGAGGGGACCAGGCTGAAGACTGATTCATGGGCAGCATTAAAACAAGAAGCCTTGCTAAAGGATGGATTGATAATATGCCCGTTACTTTCTAGGATTTTAAGCGAGAATTGATTCATGTTTTCCATCTGCTAATATTAAGGCCATTTATTCACTTAGATGATGCTCGTTTTCCAACAAACTGGATTTTTCATGTTTCTCTCTTGTGCTGAGGAGTGCTTTCAAGACGAGTTTAAGAATAAATCACAAATCTTGCTTCTGGTTAGCATGCTGATGATAAGCAGCATTATTAGTGCTATTAATTACGTAGTGTCTGCTGGCACCCACGCTCCCCATCACTTAGTCATTTAGTTTTCTGCAGACTTCTCCTTTGAAGTCCGTGGGGCTGCCCACATGCATAAACAAAGGCATGTGTCTGTTGTGTGATTGAGGCCTTAGGTGTTTTTATATTCCTATTTGTTATGTATATGCCATTGCAAGCTCGCATGCCCTGCCTTTTTTTTTTCCCCTCAGATCACATAAATATTTTCTGTGCCTTTCAAATGACGCTAATGTAATTTTAGTTTTTTTAAAGAGCAATATAAAGTGCTTGTCATCAGTGCTGTGAACTTGGCTTATCCTCATCTTTCAATTTTCGCCTTGGTCTGGGATGTCTGGAGACAAGCCACAGAAGTCTTAAATATGGAACATGTTCTAATAAGGTTTTCTTTTTATTGTTCATTTTTGCAGGCGTTTGCAATGACTAACCAAATTCTGGTAGAAAAGTCAGTTGTTGGCTGGAAGGAGATAGAGTACGAAGTTGTGAGAGATGCTGCTGATAACTGCATTGCTGTCTGCAACATGGAAAACATTGATGCTATGGGAATCCACACAGGTAGGCTTGGGCACAGGGTGGCTGGCTGTAAATGGCTCATTAACTGGTTTATGTAGTGCCCTTCTGCCTGCTGTTGTTGGCATAGTTTTGTGACTGATGAAGTGGGCTTTAGAAATACTCTTTAGGTCTTGGATACAGCCACTTAGGGTGTGAAGCAGATATTTTTAGGCTAAACCAACCCCTGTGATCCCGTTTTCCGTAAGACTGCGTGGCCTCTCCATCTCTGGGCCTATAACTGTGCTTTGCATCAGCTGTGCATCCACGGGTTTCAATGTCTGTGGTAACCTCTTTGCTTGCGGTGGGTTAGCAAAGGGATCTGTGTGGCTTGAATTCACTGCTGCTGCACCGCTGCTCATTTTCCTTCTCTGCTCCCTTGTGACAAACAGGGGATTCTATTGTAGTGGCTCCAAGCCAGACACTCACTAATGAGGAATTTCAGATGCTGAGGGATCGTGCCATCAAAGTTGTCCGACATCTGGGCATAGTGGGAGAGTGTAATATCCAGTTTGCTCTGCATCCAACTTCCCTGGAGTACTACGTCATTGAAGTTAATGCCAGACTTTCGAGAAGTTCAGCTTTGGCCTCCAAGGCGACGGGGTAAGATCCTTTAAAAAAACCCCATAATCCTACAGAACAAGCAAATGCATAAACAGAAACTGAGGGAAGAATAACAGGAGAGAATTCCGATAAGGGGCTTGGATCAGTGTGTTGTTTAAATACGTAAGTGAAAGCTGGAAGGAGGAAGAGTTCCTGCATCTGCACTCCATGCGGTTAAGGCAAGGAGGCACAGGTTTAATTTGCAGCAAGGACAGCTGAAGCTGGCTGTCAGTGAGAGCTCTGGAGCGCTGGGGTCAGTGAGGTGCAGATTTCTGCGTAAGAATGGTCCTTGTCAGCATCTGCTAAGATTGACCTTCGGAGAGTCGGTCCTGCTGGGAGATGGAAGAAGGGGTTAGTGAGCCCTCCAGGTCGATTCCAGCCTGCCGATACTGTTCCTACAAATGGAAAAACTCCCAGGAGGGTGCGTGTGTGGGAGCCTAATAGCTGTCCTTACAGAGCATATCCACTGTATCCATATGCTGGCTGCAAATCATCTCTGGGACCCAGAGGACACGGTTATTAATGAGCTGTCTGTCAGACTGATGCAAATGCTATTGCTAGCTGCCTTTGTTTTGTTGGCTAATCATAAACTAATCAAGATAAGGATGGTCAGAGCAGGCTGTTTAAAAATTGGCTTCTTAATTGCACTTTGCAGATGCTGTTGAGAGGCACAAATTAATCTCTAATTTGCACTTCTCAACTACTCTTGTGGTTGTTGAAATGCCAGAGCAGACTGGAGACAAGCCACGATGTTGGACAGTGGGCGTTTGATTGCCTTCTTTTGGGATGGCAGATTTGCAGCAAAACAGACCTGTTTCTGTGGTGTCACTGTGAGTGTGACAGAGCTAAAATGGTGGCTTTGCAGCTAAAAAAGCGAGTCCCAGATCTAGGTTGGTAGCTTTGCAATGCGTTAAGCGGAATGGGCCCTGCTGTGCTTGAGCACAGTAACCTTCCATTGTGTTGAGGAGGGAAAAGCACCTCACATCTGTTTATTTTGAGCCCCTCCTGGGATTTGCAAAAGCAAAATACTTCCTGCTCTAGTATTCTCTACTTCTCCTCTATGGCAGGGATCCATTAGCATTCATTGCTGCCAAAATTGCCTTGGGGATCCCCTTGCCAGAAATCAAGAATGTGGTGACAGGAAAAACCTCTGCCTGCTTTGAGCCCAGCCTGGATTACGTTGTTACCAAGATACCCCGCTGGGATATGGACCGTTTTCAGCATATGTCCAACCGGATTGGAAGCTCCATGAAGAGTGTGGGAGAGGTGAGTGCAAGACTCTCTCCTTCTCTTCCATTCCACCACTTGAGAAAGTAATTTCTTTCTTGGAAACCCTCAGAATGTCTGTCTTCAAGGACTTTTGAAGTTATTTGTTTGCCTCAAATGATTTTTATCCAGTACTATAATTAGTTGAAATGAGTATGATATAAGTGTAATCTTGGCTATCACAGTGTGGCTTCATAAACGGTTTGACTCCTAAGGGAAGAGACCACTTTGGGTCACCCAAGGTTGACTTCATTTCTACACTCACTACTGGACTCTGAGTTCTTTTTCGTTTGGGGTTCTGCAGTGGCGGTTAATTAGAGTGTAACTGCAAGAGTTATGGTCTGTTAAGATGCTCTGTTAACCGCTGAGCCACAGCTCTTGGTCATTCCCATAGTTATTTGTCCTCTCTGTTAAAACCATGTGCCAAATCTCAGCCTACTTCTGCTCTTGAAATCCAAACACAGCCTGTAATCTTGCTCCAAAGTTTTGGCTTCTCTTAGTGATTAAGTCCCTTTTATCTGGAACATGACTGTGTGACTTTTACCTGATTTTAAGGTGCCTGGGACAATAACAGCATTTTCAGACCATGTTTTAAAAGGAGAGAAATGAAGCAAAATGGGTAAATTACCCACTTAATTAGTTAATTACATATCAGCTACCAAAGCAAAGTCATTAATTGTGTATTTTTTTTCAGCTGCCTCTTTTTCCTAATGCTTTTCAAGTAGCTATTTCATTAAATTATTTTGACATGTGAGACCTTCCTCGTATCAACTCTGCCGTGCTCAGACAACAAGCCTTCATCACAACTGGAAGGATTAATTAGAACTTGATTTTCCAGTGGCAAGTTTTGGCTTTTAATGACAATGAGATGTTTGGTGGGTGTGTGGGTTTTTTGGTGGGGTTTTTTTGTTTTTGTTTTGTTGTGTTTTTTTTGTTTGTTTGTTTTTGTTTTTCCCCCCAGTGAGTTGATGCTTGCTGTTATTAACCCTTGCTGCTTAAGGGCTTTTTGAACTTTTCTGTAGAGCTGGGGTTCCTAAATACAGTTGCCTTGGGCACCACCCTCTGTAAACACTTCCTGGCCATACACATATGCGGGAGGAAGTGTTGAGTCCTTCCAGCAGCCATATATCACAGAAGTAGCACTGCATGAACCCCTTGTCCTTCTCAAGGCACGGTGCTGGGTAAAGGGAGAAGGAAAATAGAGGAAGAGCCAGTCCTCCAACTGTGCAGATCTGTGACTGGTGCGGGGGGAACTGAGACAGGGATGGAGAAGCTTAAGAGATGCAGTTTGCAGCTGGTGGAGGCCCTCAGACAAAAGGTTAGTCTCCAGGACCTGTGGGTAGGAGAGGGTCTTGGAAGCAAAGAGCTGCTTGCCGCTGTGTCTCTGTTAGTATGGCACAGTCATCTCCCAGGGCCTGAACTTGAAGCCAAATCGCAGCACCTCCTGCATTTTTATTAATTGAACAGTCTGGCCTGGCCTGGTTTTTCCTGAGCTCTGTTGCGCTGGGCAGTGGGCCTGGAGCTGTAAGAAAAGAGAAAACAATGTTATTTTTTCCTCTGACATTTTTCAACATTGTGTTTGAGAAGATTTTTATGCTGTGAGGGTTTCACTGCACTGGGAAATAAAAATGTAGAAATTTGAGAAAGGGTTCTGTTGCCTCACAGATTTCCACAGAGAAAGGCTTGTTTTCTTATTAGATGTGAAGTCAAGATGGAATGGGGGAAACCCCAGTGCTGCTATGCCAAGGAGGAGTAATCCTTTAAGAGAGCCTTCACAGGGGAGAGTCACTCTTACATGTAATTTGAAGGAAGAGGAGCAGATTTCTTCTGAACCTTAGAATTCCCACTGAGGATGTCTATCTCTAACAGGTTGTTAAACAGAAATATCCTTCTGTATTAGTACGCCCATGCTCCTGCATATGCTTCCCTCTACCAGAGTGCTTCAGAGCAGTTTCCAGAGGAGACTAGCGGCTTCCTGTGTTTTACAGACAGGGAGATGAAAGCAGAAAGCAGGCACTTGGCTGAAACTCCCTGGTGATAATACCGGCAGAGTCAGGCCTGGGAGTGGGACTCCCAAGGCTCAGTCAGCTCTGCCTGGCTGGAAGCCAGTAGGATTGTCTTAGGGAGGGGGGCCAAAGGCTGTAATCTTTCTGTAGGTCTGTCTTCGTCATTTAAATGTGCACCCTGCACATTCAGGGGAAGCTGGGCAGCAGCTCGCCGTAGCTAATGTGGAAGTGCTCTCCGTTACAGGTCATGGCTATTGGCCGCACTTTTGAAGAGAGCTTCCAAAAGGCCCTGAGAATGTGCCACCCATCTGTAGATGGCTTCACGTCACATCTGCCCATGAATAAAGCCTGGCCAGCCAACGTAGACCTCCAGAAGGAGCTCTCCGAGCCATCCAGCACTCGGATATATGCAATAGCCAAGGTAACAAAAGACAGAAAGCCCCAAACCTATGTCCCTTAAATTATAGCTCCCAGACTGTGTCACCTGAGGTGACAGGTTCTTCACTCCCTTCCTTTCTTGTGTGAAGCACACTGGGACCACCTTCTGTCAGATCCTTGCTGTTGAAATACAGATATTCTCTATCACATGTAATTTCCTCTGCAGAACATGACAGCTGGGGGGTACAGGACTTTTATTTTTCCTGTTGACATCTGTATTTTCATGCATCTTCTGTACTGAGGTAATGTGTTTGCATCTCGGTACAATCTTAGCCCATGCTCATTGCAGTCAGCAGCAGGTTCATTCCTGTGTCCTGGCATTTCAGTTTGTAGCCGAGACCTGGATCTCTTCCCGTTGCTCGTTCCTATAATATAATTGTTTGCTAAATATTGGCTAACGTTCAGCTCTGATTTACACTAGTGCAAGTGTTAATCTGCAAAACTGGCCAACTGTGGCTACCATCAATTTATAGGAAGGGAAGAAGGAAGCAATGAAGATCCTTTTGAAAAGTGAAACGCAGGATGATAAGGAATGGCAAGCTGCAGTCTGTGACAGCACTGCAATTTTTGTTTTGCAATTGTTGCATTGGTATGGGCTTGAGACTAAACAACAATGAAAACTGTTAAATCCATCATATTCCAGAAGTCGTGGCAGTCTGGTGAAGTTCCCATTGATTGCAAAAGGGGAAACATTTCCTTTTTTTAAAGATAGGTGTTAAAAGGAAGGTCCTGGGAACTCTGTGCCTGGCAAGATCATGGAGCAGATCGTCCTGGAAACAATGCTGAGACACATGGAAAATGAGGGGGTGATCGGTGACAGCCAACATGGCACCAACCGATGCTGTTTAACATCTTTGTC